ATTAACCGAGTTATGAATTTTTTCTAAGTGACTAAAAAATTCATTTTTCTGGATGCATTTTGTGCTGCAAATGCAATTGCAATTTAGCCGAAAAACATAATACAAAGTTGATACATTTTTTCCACATAATTTTAGAAAGCGAATGCAAAAAACCCCATCTTGATACGACTTGATCGAAAAATTTCGGAGATTTCGGCTCTTTTGCGCTTTATTTCATTGACTATTATAAGTTTGTATATCTACAATTTTGTGCAGTTTTCATGTTGGGATAGTTACAAACATACCATTAAATTTCAGAGCAGATACAAACCTATACATATAATAATTGTGTTTGGGAAGTTTTTGAAGCCAATGAGGAATGATGTTATATATATCTAGAATAAAATATCAATGGCATACATGTATGTATATGTGTAAGCATACCTACTTATTGGACAATTGTCACAATATACATGGAACAGTTGTATTTTAATTATGATATTATTATAATACTAAATAACGGTAGGAGTAATTGGGGATTGTGGGATTTGTGGGTGGTTCACCGGAGGTTTGGGGGGGGGGGGATGAAGCGTAGCAACAGAAACTTGGCAATAGCATACAAATATGCTGAGTTTATTATTTGTAAGTTGGCAATCCTTGGCATGTAATATAAGTATACATTTTGCTGTGATCGCTCGCATAGCTGATTGCTTTAACCTCTAAAATGTTGGAAGAAGAACAGGCTCAATAGAAATGAAAATGGCAAAAAGAGGAAAAAAGCTGAAGGGAAGATTGCGGAACCCAGGGAGGTATTTTCCTGGGTTCCACTGGGGTGGCTGATCATATTCGCCCAAGGCGCATAAGTTAGAAATACATCCTTGGCGGAGCCTGAACCTCCGCATACTATTCGAGGACATCGACTAATTGACATAGAGTACGTGACTTAAAACATGCACTGCTCCTTTTGCAAAAACGTTTACGTATTTCAGATTATCTACAAACTGTGATCACGAAGTAATTCGTGAGGAAAAATTTAAATATGAATATTATTATTATAGTTACATGCATAAGTAGTATACTACTATGATGCATTTCTGTGAATACAAATGTTACTAATAAGACTTAAGCAATTATAGCAATTGCATTTAGGAAAGTATAATATAATTTGATATAAATATGTAGTATTATACTGTGATAATGCAGTCAAGTATTCTAAAAAATATACTGAATTTATTGAAATATTAACTTTAAAATGGAAAATTATATTTAAAATGACATAATATATCAAAATGTTATATGTGCTGTGATGCAAATTATAAATATTTAATTTGTTATATGTTACTGTATTTTTTAAGTAAAGTAAACACAAATTTAATGACCAATTTGTGTTACGAACCGTTTATTTAAATTCTTCAGACACTATTGCACTGTTGCCGTTACTCCTTCATGTTTGTTTATTTCTCTATGAAATGTGAAGTAACCTACATTTTTTCTTTCTCTCATCTATTATTTAATGATTCGGCTAAATGTCTATATTTTTTCATCTTACCATTTGCATTTTTTCTCCCGTAATTTGATTGTAGGGGTATATATCATAGCATTTCCCATAAGAATCTATGTTAAATGATCAAATTTTTAGCATTAATTAAAAACAAAAACAAATCAATAAATAATTCGAGATTAATTCACAGAATTTGATTCCGCATATACAGTGCTTTCGAAAAGTAACGAATAAATTCATTATTTTTTAAATCGAGAAGTTTTCGAAAAAATCCCCTGGCACGTCGATTTTGTTTTTAAAAAAGGCACTTTTTGACATACGACCCATATTTGTGACGTCATCGTTGTTCGAGATATGACGTCATCAACAATTTTTTTAAATAGCAACCCCCAATTTTGACCATGCCATTTGAAAGAGCGTGTCATTCTACATACGCATCATGAAAAATTATGGTGTTACATAACAAAAATTTCAAGAAAATAATGTTTGAAGATTTTAAAATTTAATTTTCACAATACTGAAAATGATAATGATTATGTAAAAATCGACTAAATTAAATGTTCAAATTGTGCACCGTTGGCTGCCTGACAGTAGCCAAGACGATTAATAAATTCTTGATGGAAGTCTATTAAAGAATTGAATGCAAAAATAATTTTTTGCCATCTCTGGATTTCGCTAATCTATGAAATTTAGGCCTAATATTGTGTCGCTCTCTTATATGATGAAAATGAAAATTTTCTTGTCGAACAAATTTATTCTGATTATTTTTTATATAAATGAGACATTCAAATATGTAAACTGACGGCATTGTAAGAATATTTAGCAGTTTGAAGTGCTCGCGACAATCATCTCTGTATTTTATTCCAGCCATAATTCTAATACATTTACATTGTAAACCAAAAATTTTATCACTGAGACGAATGACCCCAGTTCAAAATTGCATAAGTCATGGTGGCATGAAAAGTACCATAATATGCTGATATGAGTACAGGCTTATATACTACACAATCCAAATTACGCAGTAGGAAAATATTCTTAGATAAACGTGCGGATAAATCATTGACATGTTTTTCCCAACTCAATTTAGTGTGAAGGTGAACTCTAAGAAATTTAATGCTATTTGATTTATTACAAGTATTGATATGGCGAAGTGTAAAAAGCAAAGATTGAGTTTTGTCAACATTTAAGTTCATTCTATTAGCAATAAACCAGTCCTTTATCAGAGGCAGCGTATCCACTGAATCCTCTGTAAGTTTAATTAAGTTATTATTTGACTTTAAAGCGGTAGTATCACTGGCAAATAAAATAAAATCGGTAGTTATATCACAATTTGGGAAATCATTGATATAGATAAGAAATAGAATAGGGCCGAATACTGAGCTTTGGGGAACTCCATGAACTATTTTTGTTAGGTGTGAAGAACAAGAATTATAAAAAAACATACTGAGTTCTGTTCGACTCAATAAGGGACATGCTATTGTCATCAAAATTGTAAAATTTTAGTTTATTTAAGAAAATTCTGTGGGACACACAGTCAAATGCCTTAGTCAAATCGTAAAAATTTCCACTGACAACATTGTTTGATTCGAAATTGTTTGAAATAATTGTAGTCAACTGGTTAATAGCTAAGGTTGTTGACCTTTTGTTCCTAAAACTGTAATGACTAGAATGGAATAAATTATTGTTTTCAAAATACTCTGCAATTTGCATATTTAAGGCAGTTTCGAAAACCTTTGCCAGAACGGGAACAAGAGATATTGGTCAGTAGTTAGATACATCATCTTTCTCACCTTTCTTAAAAACAGGAATAACCTTGGATAACTTGAAAGCTGTAGGAAATACGTTGGAGCTAATGCATTGTTTAATTAGGTTAAAATAGTGGAAAAATTATAATATTCTTAAGAGTTCAACTCTCTGAATTTAAAAGTCGTTTGTGACTTCGGTGCAGTCAAAAACTCGGAAGGTAACTTGTTGGGAAGTGGGAGCTCACTCAAATGACGCTCTGCAATATTGGAAAAATAAGTATTAAAGTCATTAGCGTTTAATGAATCGCTTACAGGTGAACTGCGGTCCTTTTTATTTTTTATGAGGTTCCACATTGCTGCTTGTTTATTAGTAGATGTATTTATATAGTTGTCATTGGCACTTTTTTTGACTTTAGATAATTCCAGACAATACTTATTGTGATAGGAATTGAAGGTTTCCCTGGACATGGGGGTTTGGAGTTTTCATGATAGAAATGTATTGATGAGAAGAACTGTGTTTTTCTCCATTGTATTAAATTTAACATTGAAATCGCCTGTCACTATAATAATTTTATTAAGATTGAGTCTATTTAATAGCAAATTCAGTTTAATGTATACTTGGAAAAGTATACATTAAAGTCACCCTTGGGAGACCTGTATCTGGTCATTATAATACAACTATTATATTCAATACTCGCCATCTCAAACAGGGATTCCTCACACAAGTACATATCATTAAAAGAGATCGGGGAGCACACAACATTGCTTTTAGCCAGAATACATACCCCACCATGAAGAAATTTCGATCTACAAAATTCAGACACAACTCTATAACCAACTATCAAAGTATCCAATTCCAAACCAGTCAGCCAATCTTCATTTAAGCAAATAAATTCAAAATTTTTATTAGAAAATATCTCGAGTTCAAGTGTTTGGTTCATCACGCTGTATATATTTAGGTACAAGAGATGAGCTATGTCATTTGTTATTTGAGATGATATTCTTGAAGGATGTTTTCCTATATTTTTGTTTCCTTCCGGATGTCCTTTACTCGAAAATCCTCGGATTATTTTTCTTGAAAATTGAATTTGAAACTTCTGAACGCAACTCCCGCTGTCCAAAAATCATTATCATATACATTGTCCTTGTATTCAAATTTAACCCCAACCTGAAAGCACTTGCAGTCTTTACGAGTGTCATCATATTTTGTAGGAAATTTCTTGATGGTAATATTTCGTCTTCTACAGTTCATTATTTGATCCGAAGATGTCAGTACAGGTACCTAAATCTCGTCTACTCTCTCGTCTACGTATTTTTCAAGACACCTCCTGTTTTCAAGTCACCCCATTTTACGGTACCTTTACATTTTAGCAGGAATTAGAAATGTGTAAATACATCTGAAGTTACACATGGCACCACCTTAGAAGTAATCGAAACGCTTCCCATCTTTCCTTTTCCTAATCTTTACTTACATGACAAAAAATGCAAATATTTTAGAAACTTCAGAATATAGCAATTGGCAGAGAGGTCAGCTGAACGCTGTGCTCGAAATTTGTGATGTCTTCTGTTTCATTAGTTACATTACATTAGTCAAGCCGATTGATGTCATACAACCTGAATTTTAAATGTTTTTTTTTTAACATTCCTTGCAACTAAACACTCCATAACAAACTGTAGGCTTAGTTTCAGTGTTTCCAGTACTATAATTTAAGCAAATTAAAAAATATGTGGAACATGATCATTGTTTGAATATAAATATAGTCTTTTTGTTTTAGTATTCCCCACCCTTAAATAAAATATTTATGGATATGAATAGTCCTTTTCCAGTCGATTTCAAGATAAAAAATAGACCACAGAACTCATTATTTATCAGAGTGACACCAGTCTATAGCCTACCACAACATTCCCAGGATTTTGTTTATAGATGTATTAATCATGAACATCCAATGGAAACGTCCAATCGAAGTAAGTAATGAACTTGAAAACCATATTCAGTATTCATACAATTCGTTTTTATTTCAGATGTAAAAGAGAATGTTCGACAACATATTATTAGATGTTCTAATTCTTCTGCAATATATTTAGGTGACAAGGAAAAAAGCCAACGTTTAAGTGTTGCTATACCTTTATCGCTACCACAGAGTGGAACAGAAAGTGTAAGAGAAATGTTTCAATTTGTCTGTAAAAATTCCTGTCCAACACCAGGTATGAATAGAAGACCAATTGAAGCTATTTTTACACTGGAAGATGTTTCGTAAGTGATAGCTATAAATCGATTAACGTTATGCATAAAAACTTTCATTATTTTGCCATTAGGCTCCAGTTTGGGTCTTTCAGGAATGGTTATTATAGCAGAAAAACTTAATTTGAACATTTCAACCTAAATGTTGAAATACCAACTTCAAACATTTTTTGCGGGAATTATGAATGCAACAAATAATTCCGCGCATACGCATACAACTTTTCCATCTTGAAAAGTGTCCTCGGGACATGTCCACTTTTCATAACATGTCCGATGGACATGTCCAACTGACATGTCGGCGGCACATCTCTAGTTTTTATATTACTTATATGTTGTTTGTTTAGAAACAAAATATTTTATAATTTTACTTAAAATTTTAGAGGCCATGTCCTGGGTCGTCAAACTTTAAGAGTTAGGATATGTTCTTGCCCTAAGAGGGATAAAGAAAAAGAAGAAAAAGAGCACAGTGATAATACACGCCTTCCAAGAGGTAAAAAAAGAAAAGTTGAAAAATCTGAAAAGAAACCAGTGGCTAGTAGCGATGTTGATAATAAAGAATATAAGCTTACGGTAATCAAATTAGTAAATTTTTTCTAGTAAGTGTAATTTTTATTGAATTAACTATTTTAGTTGAACATTGTTGGAAAACATAATGCCCAGCAAGTACTTAAATACAGTCATGACCTCATGGCCGGAGAGTATATAAGACATGGCAGTAATGGAGGGGAAGTATATAAAAATTGCTTAAATGGAATCAACAATTTGATGAGTAAGTATTATTTTTTAATATTAAATTTAAGTTTATGATTTTTTCTTTTGTATTTAAAGTTTATAATCATTATACTAATTTCGCATTAAAAACAAATAATTTATAATATAATAATATTTAGTCAATTCATAACAGTTTTTTGTCAAGTTTTCTTCAGGATATAAGACAGTTTGCAAGCTGACAAGACGTTCAGAATAAGGGAAAAAAGCATATTTTGGCTTTTCATGTTTATCATTATCTTTCCTGAACTTTATACATCTGTTGAACATACAAAAAATCACATATGGCATTACAAACATAATCACACCCGCAGAATGCTTTTAAGAAAGTAGGTAATACATGAATTAAAATAGTTCCTTCAAATAAAATCTAGGCTTAAGACACGTACGCAAATTTTTAGTTCAATGGTTAAAGCAGTTCTGAATAACATATTTAAATTTTAAATCAATTGACCATTTCATTTTTTAGAAATTAATTTTCAATGTGTAAAGAATTAACATGTGGGAGTTACGGATTCGTTATATTTCTCATAAAACACTTTTACCGTTTATGCACAAATTTTTGTATGCATAGAATAATTTTTTTTTATTTTTTTCGATACAAAAAAAATTATGATTGACCATTTAGTATGAGTAATTCATTTTTTAAAACATCAATAATGAATAAATTCACTTGAATGGGGACTAAACTGAGGAAAATGTGCGCGAAAGTTGATGCTTAGAGGTTTGGTGATATTAAAGAATTCTTATCTGATAGGAATTGTAGAATTACACTGGACTTTTCTAATCCACACACACACAAACACACACACACACAAACACACACACAAACACACACACACACACACACACANCGCACACACGCACACACGCACACACGCACACACGCACACACGCACACACGCACACACGCACACACGCACACACGCACACACGCACACACGCACACACGCACACACGCACACACGCACACACGCACACACGCACACACGCACACACGCACACACGCACACACGCACACACGCACACACGCACACACGCACACACGCACACACGCACACACGCACACACGCACACACGCACACACGCACACACGCACACACGCACACACGCACACACGCACACACGCACACACGCACACACGCACACACGCACACACGCACACACGCACACACGCACACACGCACACACGCACACACGCACACACGCACACACGCACACACGCACACACGCACACACGCACACACGCACACACGCACACACGCACACACGCACACACGCACACACGCACACACGCACACACGCACACACGCACACACGCACACACGCACACACGCACACACGCACACACGCACACACGCACACACGCACACACGCACACACGCACACACGCACACACACACACACGCACACACGCACACACGCACACACGCACCCACGCACACACGCACACACGCACACACGCACACACGCACACACGCACACACGCACACACGCACACACGCACCCACGCACGCACCCACGCGCACACACGCACACACATGCTCAACGATCTCGCTCTTTCTTTGTTGCACAGCACTATCTGTCTGTCTTACTAACTGTCTAACTAACCTTAATAAAAATTATGGAGTACTAATCACAAAACTGAACGAAACCAGAAAGGTACATTTTCCGATGTTTATATATACCATATATTCTATCTACAAAAAGTTAAAGAAATCTTTATGTTTGTATACTGTACAAAAGATAGTGATAGTCACACTAGTCATCTTGAAGGTTTTTTTTGTCTGCTAGAGTAGAACTGACTTCAATATTTGTAAGTAGTACTTACACCAACCTTATGTAATATTATAGCATTCTTGCTATGCAGTATGACATATATAATTATACAGGGTGTAGAGGATCTTAAAATATGCTGATTTGTTATGTAACTTTTTTGTCTGGACTGTACCATTGAAGAGATATTGGCCTCCGAGGCGAGTGTTAAATTTTGAAAAATAATATTTCAGCAATGCCTTTAGAGCAACCAAATTTGGACAATTTGCGTTTATTGTTATCTCTAATTTAATTAATATGAATTTGTTGGAAGCCCAATAAGGGCTGGTGGGGTGCCCTTAAAATGATATCGATTATTTTTATTAGTATGCCAGTTATTAAATAGTTTTACCTCTATTACAGGAAATTTAACTTAAAAAAATTTTTTACTCTTACAAATTTTTGGAAAAAATTATGGTTTTTGAGAAAATTTGGGATTTTGTGAAACCCCGTCATTACTAATTGAATTGGATAAAAAGTAAAGTATGCAGTTTTACGACTAGTAGGCTATGATTTCATGTAATTTTTGGCGTTTACAAAAAAGTATCAAGATAAAACACAAATAGATATTTATTATACAAGGGAAAAAAGTACTAGATTCTAGCTCGAGAGGTAAAATCTACTTTTTTCCCGTGTATAATACACTATTTTTTTCTGTGACGGGAAAAACAAAGATTTAATATTGAAAAAACATTATTACAATATATTAGTCACTAAAGTTTTAAATTGGTAGGCTGTTATACTTATAGCGACAATTACATCTGCGTTGCTAAGGAAACCTTTAAAGTAATCAAATATCTGTCAATTTAATTCTGTGATTTGATTTAAAAATTGCAAACTTAGTGGTTGTTTAGTAGTTATTTTGAATAATATAAAGTTAAAAAATGTCTGATTCCAAGTTTTCTCTGACTCCACCGGAGTTAGTAGAAGCAGCGAAAGTAGTGTCACAAAAATTATTTTAAATATCTTCCTTTACTTATGTATATTGTATATATCCGGGAAAAAAGCAGTCTCATAAAAAATGACAGTTTGTTACCTGTCAACAGAGATAAAATGTCAAACATTTTTCCCGTTACAGAAAAAATATGTTTTTGTTATAACACACTTCATTAGATATACTTACTTGACTTTTAATAACCGTAAGATACCCATTAGTTAAATTGAGCAATAATTTTTAGTTTTTTTATATGTGCTGGTCGGTGTTGTAAGTTCAGGCTGGATTATTTAATTTTATGAGCTGTGTACGGTTTTATTTAAACTTATTTTTTTTACTTTTTATTTACATTCTGTTCAAGATAAACAAATGAGCTTTTTCAAATGTTTGGGAATTTTTTATGGGCCATATTTTTTTAAGAAATTTTTAACAATATCCCTTTGAACAGTTTTGAAAGAAATTAGTGTAGAAATAATTAGACACGTCCGATGGAAAATTTAACTTGAGATTCAGGATTCAGAAAATCATTCATTGTTTGTTCATTTTTAGTAGCTATTTTGAGTTTACCATTAAATCTGTTATTGTGGACATAAATATAAGAAATTTTAGTCTCCCTTGGCAATAGTTAGCAGTCCCACCACTCGATAGCATATTTCCCTAGTATCTATGAAACCAAAGGTTTTTTAGTTACTGCTTCATTTATTGTTATCTAATTTATTATTTTCTACTTATCTGTTAAAAATTTATAATCAAATTTTTTATGATAACCGCAGTAATCTATTAATTTGCTCTCAGAAAGTAAGAACACACCTAGCATGTCAGCATCTACACAGGATACAGTAAGTTTTATCGGCAGCCACAATAACAGGATTTTAAAAAGATAAATGCAATCATAAACAAAACTATTTAAAAACGTACAAACTGTTCAGTATTCTTGACATAAGAAAGAAAATATGGAAAATTACAAAATTGTTCTCTTAAAAGTACATCTACGCAAAATGCTTTTTAACCAAATCATTTTAGATTCTAGTTTTAGTTGGTGCATTCTGTTCAGAGTTGCCAGCTTAAGTTTCGGCTTGAAGCGTCCGACTTTGACATGTCTCCAAGTGGGCCGCCAAGGTCTACACATCGTTATATAACTTGATCTCCTGTTAATTGTTAACTTGTTTTTTTTTGTTACAAGAAAGAAATGCCAAGTGTTTATTAAAAATTAACAAAGATTTATTTTTGTTATTCTTTGTTTCAGGTAAGCCTCTGGATTAAAGAGATGTGGTGATAATTGCCTACATTTTTTTATTAATAAATTAGTTATGAAAGTGAGGTCCGTTTTAAAATTAAAAAGAAACGAAAAGAGATCCAGCTTTATTTTCTTTTTATATATTATATTTTTCTTTCATGCATATTTTATATAATTTCAACTGTTTGTTTTTCACTGTGACAAAAGTCTGCCAGCAATATCTTAATCTAGTTTGTCTTCAGTTTGTCTAATTACATTTTTCCAACAAGTCGAATTATTGTTTAAGGTCAAACGGTATTTTGCAAAACCTTGATGATACTCAGTGTTGCCAGTGCAACGGATTTTCTGCAAAATTTAGTAAATTCAAATCTGAATTAGTAGATAAATATTTGATTTAGTGGTTAATGGATTGTTGTTATACATAATACAATTTTTTAAAGGTTAAACTATTATGAGCCTGGGCTCATATTTAATAGAAAAATCTATGATTTTCTGTTGTGAGCTTTGTAGACTAATAAATATTTTTGAGGTTATAGTGGAATTATTTATAATTTCATTTTTGTTATTAAATGGAAAATATACTTTTAGGTCCATTATCTATTTTGAGCTTTTAGTGAATTAGAATCATAAATTTAGCAGAAGCAGTCATTGGACTGTTGGCAACACTGATGGTACTAGATAATAAGAGACATCTTTTGTTTTTTAATAATCTTAAGTTTCAGTCACCCAGTAACATAATGTTTTTTCCTCAATTGCCGGAAACATCTATTGTAATATCAATTGTAAATTACTAACAAACAGAAACAATAATTTACCTTGTTCCAAAAAATATAGCTAATAATTAGATTAGGTATTATTTATACTGAGGTACCACACATGCTCAATTCATCATCATTGTCACAGTCGGCGACAGTTTTAAAACAGACCTTAAAAAACACATTTATACATAGTAGGGATAGAAGGAAGTACAAATCGTAATTTGATGGTGTAGTACATACATATTTGATTTGATGAAACAGGAAAAAAATAGATTTTGTTATTGTATTGTGTGCAATATCTTACTTTCGTATGACTTTTTGTGTATGGCATTTCAAAGTTGCAAAAAAACTGTGAAAACAGAAATATGTGCACCACATCATCAATATATTAAGTACATGTCATTTATATTATATATTACTTTATATTTTTATATTAACTATCTTAGATAACTATTTGTGATTCCAGATTTATTTTTTGGAATAACTAATTTTTTATAGGATTAAGTTATATATTTGTAAATATATTTTTCTCTGAAATGATACTTTCCTTATTTAAAATTGTATGTACTATGGAATAATAGAGCTGGTGTAATAAATTTTTAAATTGATAAATTACAAATATTAATATGGTGATAGAAAACTTTAAATTTGCAGCATATATATACAGGGTGTCCAACATAAAAACCGACACAGGGCTGGTGCATGTAGGTGTGTCCAAAATATTGTAATTTAACCAAACTTACCTTTATACAAAGTTGCCCCCCTGAGAAGTTATTAGCCCCCAAAATGGGGCCATAAATTTCGAAAAAAAGTAATATCTCTGCTACCCTTTACCGCAGAGGAACCAAATTTGGTACATGGTTTAGGTTTATTACTTTAGGTCTTCTTTGACTATGATTTAAAGTTAATTGAAGCACTACAAGGTGTTCATTGAGGACGACTCACCCCTAAAATTGTACCAAACGCACTTTTTTTCATTGACCGAATTGAAAAATAATAATATTAATTCACACAAGAATTTAATTTTATAAATTTTTTTACTCTTAAATTTTAAAAAACTTTATGGTTTTCAAGATAAACCGTATTAACCGAAACAAGTTTCTAACAGTGTTTATTAGAAAATAATCGAAAAGTCAGTAGTAGTAATGAATTTATCTTTCAAACTTGTCAGTTAGTAATAAAAACATTTTATTTTAAGGATGTTCGATACATCTCTTGCGGGGCAGGCGGTGCGGGAGGGAAGCCTATGCTTATACACGGTAGTTTCATTGTAGTACCAACCTTACATAAATTAATTTGAGTGAACTAAATATAATATATACGAATAAAATTTATACAACACATATTAGCTTGCATATATTTTTCGTGTTTAATGCACGGCTATTAACTTTTTATTTGAATAAAAGTGTCTATTTATTCATTAAGAGCTTGTAAAATTATGGATGAAATCTGGCAACATTGTTATGGCGTGGTGGTAAAAGTTGGGTCAACTGTCATCACTGTCAACTGTGCGCTTATTCCGTAAACATGAATGAACATCAAAGGTACAAAGGAAAAGTAATGACTGAAAAGTAATATAAAATGTGTATGAAACAGAATGTGGATTGATGAGAAAAAAGTAAAATGTGCAAACCGAGAATCCATATGATAACTGTCAAGAAGTTCAGTGTATGATAGTGAGACATCGCCTTGTCAGATTGAAGATTATGACAGAACATCTATACTGTTCGTTTTGCAAAGAGATTCTTTCAATTTTTGTTTCAAATTGCTATTATATTGCATTAGATCACGAAAAATGTATTTAGTATTAATTATTACTACATATGTTTTCGACTGGAATAATGTTATAGTCTATAATCGAGCTATTCAAATATAGCGTGTCAGTCAAAGCGTTAAATACAGCGTATAGTGTTGCCATATTTCCTTTCATTGTATCAGATGTTTGTTCAAATTTGTGAAAACGTTATATATTCATTCCATTATCTCAATAATTACATTGTAAGTGCATATTTTTATTGTTTTAAAATGTTTAGTAATATTTAATTCTTTAATTACAATTTTATTTTCCCGATCCTAACCATTTTTAAGAGCAATATTCACGTTTGATTAAGGTTTTTGCCCCACTCCCATAAGAGCCTGTATAAGAGCATAATTTTTAATATAATTTTTCAAAAAAACTACATTGGCAATCGATCTGATATTTTTACACGAGACAGTTTGCATATTTATTAACAGATTTCAATTACTTTAAAACTTTCTTACCATTTTTTTTTTGGGATCAAACCTTAACAATTGCCTCTGATTATTGTTGAAAAAATGTCAATTATTATGTTTATTATTTATTTGTGTTTTTTACTTAATACAGTATTCGCTTATTTAAAAATTACCTACGTACTTGTTTTCTTTTTGTAGAATTAGGAGAGAAATGAAGTGAAATTTATTTGACCAATTGTCAATTTTGAAAGATGACTGACTTTTTGATTATTTTCTAATGAACACTGTTAAAATCATGTGTCAGTTAATATGGTTTTTCTTGAAAACCATAAAGTTTTTTAAAATTTAACAAGAATAAAAAAAAGTAAAATTAAATTCTGCTGTGAATTAATATTACTATTTTTCAATTCGGTCAATGAAAAAAAAGTTGGGTACATTTTTAGGGGTGAGTCATTCCCAATGAACACTTTGTAGTGCTTCAATTAACTTTAAATCATAGTCAAAGACCAGTAATAAACCTAAATCATGAACTAAATTTGGTTCTTCTTCGGTAGTGTTGCAGAGATATTAATTTTTTTCTAAATTTAGGGCCCCACTTTGGGGGCTAATAACTCCTCAGGGATGCAACTTTGTTTATAGGTAAGTTTGGTTAAATCACAATATTTTGGACACCCCTACATGCACCTGCCCTGTGTCGGTTCTTATGCGGGACACCCTGTATAATTGCGGTTCTATTTTCAGTGCAATTAATATTAATGAGGGTCATATAATATTCGTGAATATTATAATAATATAAACGCTTTTTTCGACATTATTTGAAGAAGCTCTTAAAACATTTGCAAATTGTGTTAAAATTGAGATGAATTTTACATGGAAATGTCAGGTTCCAATTGTATAACACTTTTTCCAAGTTAAAATTAAATTTCACGTTAAGGTTTAGATGTTACAATACAAACAAATTAGTTATTTTCACAAATACCTCAGTGATACTTATGAAAGTGTTTAAAATACAAACATTTCTTGGAATAGTTTGACTTTTGTCAGGTTTTTTGAGAACTTAGCATTGTCATTACCGAGTAACTTCCTGAAACGTCATTTGAGTATTATTTTAAATAATTTTATTTTTATCACTGGCACAAAAAAAATACAACAGACAAAAATTTTAACACAAATGTGTAGAAAAGGAATCTCTAATATTTCAAAGAACTTGTCTTTGATAGCTGAAACTCACTTGATTTTTTTTTATTCTAATGACTGGTTTTTAAACAAATTTTCCATTTACTGTACCAAAAAAGTTAAATTCTTAATCAGAAACTTTCAGGGCCAATATTTGAAGAATTACACAGCCTTAGAGAATTGTCTTAAAAAAAAATTATTCATAATTATACTGTTACTGTATCAAACCTGCTACACTTTACATTTATGATGTTCCTACTGCCCAGTTTTGAGACAATCTTCAGTTGAACTCCGACATAATATATTTCTATATTTGTTTGTGAGGCAACTTGGTAAAACGACATATTAAAAATTTTTATTTGTATATATAAAATTAAAAACAACCAATCAAAATATTTGTGGTAGCAAGACCAACAGTGATTGTTAAAAAAATTATAATTTTACCACGAGGGTGAAAGTATATTTACTATTTTCATTTTTTTTTTCTTTGCAACACTCACCGCTCATTAGTATGAGAATATATGTTTTGTGGATGCTTGTTTGAGAGTTGTAAATTGAGTTTGAGAAGTAATTTATTTATATTATGCAATTGTTGGGGAGGTACTTAAAATTCTTTGAGTCAATGCAATGAGTAACAGGTTCCTCTATACAGGGCACTCCAACATTCAATGTACTATGACAAATTCATGGGGGTTAAGTCGCTAGATGACATTTAAGTTGAAAAAAAATGTTTTTTTCTAATGGCTCCGAATATACTAGTACTCGTTTGTAGAGGTTTTATTTTTTTTTGTATTTGTAACATATTTCATATAATAAATTTTTTTATAGGCATCCACTTTTGCATTTTCAATAGCTGTCAAATTTGATTTATACGATAATAAAAATGTGACAATACTTTGAGCTGTTCAGAAGTTCTTTTACGAAAACTTTCACTGTTTTCAGTGATACATAATTCAGTCAAAAAATAATTATTACACCATTTTTTCCAAATTTGATATTCACTACGGGCTAAGGAAGAAACTTGAAACGGAAGTAAATTAATTAAATCATGTAATTTTTGTCTTCAAAAATTTGTGGTAATATTACAGAATATTATGGCCTGTATGTTATAAATAACTATTGTTCATTTTTGTGTAAATAGAATCCACACTTGTTATATTTGTAAGCTTTTATAAGCCCTTATTTCTATGTTACAGTTTAAACTAAGGGGAGTGTACCTTAGAAAAATGTGTTTACAAAATATGTTAATATTTTATAAAATCATAATTTAGTTAATATTTTACTGCTTGTCTTCTATTTAGTCTATATTGCAATTCCATATTACTGTATTATGAAAATTTTATTTTTATATTTATTAATGTATCCATTCCCAACAATCCAACAAATAAAATATTGTTACATTTAAAAATATAAATAGATGGATTATAAGAAATATGTGAAGTTTTTATTTTACACAATAATGTTTGAAGAGATAGTGTTGAAACATTAACGTGGTATAACAATTTTTCTCTGGCATTTGTTTATACATAGATATATACAGTGTGGACCATTTTTGGTGATGCATGTATTGGTATCTTGGAAACTATAAGAGATTGGAAAATGGTTAGATGAGGAAAGTTTTAGACAGTTCTGTTGCTAACTTACTGATGTTTGCAGACCGGTCTTAGCTCTTCAGGTTTTTGAGTAATTTTGAAAAAAAAGTCAATGTAGCGTTTTCAAAAATCGTCTTAACTTTTTTTTTAGAGGAATTCTATAAATCTGAAAACACTTTTACACTAACTTTTTTCGAGGAATTTCACTGTATATTTAGATTTTCATTGCGACGTTTCGATTGCATGAAACTGTCATCAACTTTCTTTTTTGTTAAGTTGATTGAACTCGAGAGAATATTCTAACAATTAGCATTAATTAAAATTCAAAGCATTTAAGTTATTGGGCATGGAGTTATAAAGTTCCCCAAATCTAGCTCCAAATCTTCATCATGCTTCATAAACACAAGGCTTTCAAAATGTATTTAAAATACAAATTATAAAATACTAATGCCAAAGTATTTTAAGTATAAATTAATTAATATTTAAAATAGTATTTTAAATATGTTGAATATTAAATACAGGGTGTCGCGCTTAATTGTGATGCAAGCCTGTAACTTTATTTTTTGGCCGATTTAAAAAAATTTTTTAACGGGTAAAAAAAATTAACTGTGATACTGCTGTTTTTATTAATGCAATACACGGCCAACAAAGACGCGTTTTTTTATCTCAAAACAGCTAAT